GATTATTTTAACTTGTACAAATTGTCTTCGATGTCTTGAAGATCTTAAAATGGCCTTGAAAACCATGGTCAATGTCATGTATAAAATGTAAGGCTTGATCTTAAAATACTAACCTAACCTTGAAATGACGTTGAAGATCGTAGTCGAGGTATTGTCATGGTCGCCATCATTTTGCCACCAGAAAACCTACAACTTTTATTTAAACTTTTTCTTCTAAGATGCGCAGTTTTCGGAATATTTGAGTGGGGAGATTAATATGTAGATCACAAGAGTTCAATAATAGAAAAAGACAATGGTAGATATCAAAACAAAAGACATAATTGTTGTGTGTACTGTCGGCATACATGGTCCATTTTTATGTAGGCATGCGGCGATCCCATCAGCCATCACCCATCCTGATCGTATTAAGGCATTCTTCACAGGGAATTATACGAACGTGATATTAAGAAGGTACGTGTTAGAGCCCCTAAGTGGGGGTTTATCGGATAATTGCGAACGTTTAGTATAATACCTCGGAGGTTTCTTACCCGCATTGTTCTAGAGATCGTGTGGTCTTTCATTGTGGACTTCGTCATCAATTAAGAAATAAGCTCATGGTCATTATCTGCTCCATGTTACTTCATTTTACCTTACCAGTAACTCGGTTGTTAGGCCAGTTTTTAAGTAAGAACCGATTGCGCATCGTACCAGCGCATCCTGTCACATGACGTCCGTTCAACCTTAGACACTCTTGGCCAGTATTTCATTAGGCCGCCATTAGATTCACTTCTCCGCAGGTGTTGGTTGCGTTGTTATACTGTTTGTCGCCATGTCACTCAGAAAGCCCACCGTTTGTGAAGTGCGCTCAGTGATTCTGTAAATGCTGAAAGATGCAGTCATACTATTCAAAATGGCTGGCGGGGCCTCTCTAGAAGCGTCCTTCTTCACGACAACGCTCGGCTTCACGTTGCAGCAAGAATACAGGCGCTTTTTCGTTGGGAATAACTAGATCATCTACCATACAGCCCTGACTTAGCACCATCTTTTACCAAAAATTAAGAAATTTCTTGGTAGAAAGTACTTGGGAAATGATGACATGTCAGCAGAAACAGTTATTTACTGGCTTAACGGTAAAGCGGCAGTGTTTTCTTAACAACGGGATCCGAGGGCTGGTGCTACGAGTTGACAATTGGTTAAATGCTTATAATGACTGTTGAAAAATGTTAAAATATTCATAATTTAGCTTGTGATACAATCTACGTTCTTAAATAAATAAATAATAGTTTTAAAATACTCAAAAAACACGCTTTTATAGCTAACCGAACTAAAAAGTTGAAAATAATTTTTAATAACAAGGAGTTCATATTACAGTAGTAGATGATCGAACAATCAATCATAATTAATGACCTCAAAATAAAATTATAACAAAACTTAAGTTATTAACAGAATAATTCAAATCACAGTAAAAAGCTTGATACATTAAATGTTACAATCATTCTATTGGCAACTATTTGTGAGAGGAGAGTTATGAAAATGTAGTAAAATACGCCCCACGCTTTTTACTCTGAATTGAATTATTCTGTTAATAACTTAAATTTCACTATAATTTTATTTTGAGGTCATTAATTATGATTGATTGTTCGACCATCTACTACTGTAATATAAACTCTTTGTAATTAAATATTTTTTTCAACTTTCTAGTTCGATTAGCTATAAAAGCGTGTTTTTTAGTCTTTTTAAACTATCATTTATTTCTCATTTTTTGGTTCGATTTATCAATTAGTTTTTTGTGGACATGTGAGATTGAAATGTCTTAATGTGAATACTGACCGACGCTACGAGGTGTAATGTAACATTCGCACCGAATATGTTCGCATCGCGTATGTACGCATTGTGTTCGAAATCGGTGTAACATGCTCGTTTGAAATATGTGCTCCATATTCGCACAGTCTCAGCCCAAATGTCTGACGAGGAGGTTGTGTTGGGATCTTTGATTCTGCTAAATTAATAACTCGTGAATTTAATTGGAGCAAAAGTACATAAAAAGGATACAAATTATAGAAAAGCAATCAGTGTCACGAAAAGATTGGCACTAACACTACGTTTTTATGCTACAGGAGATTCATATACTAGTATGCAATATCTTTTCAAGATTTCAAAGCAACGGATAGAATTTATAGTGAAAGAGGTCAGCGAAGCTTTGATTGGAGTATTAAAAGATTACGTACTGTTTTAATTAATCCAGAAAAAGTATTCATTACATATCAAATTAAATCAGCAAATTCTGATAGAAATTGTTCACTCGAAGCTGGAGACCCACAGTCAGTTTGATCAGGCGTACGTGAAGCAGGTGCTTCACGGCTTTGCTGTGGCATCGATGCAGCTCTTGAAGTTGATGGTCGTGTAAGTATCCTTGTGAAGAATTATTGTTATAATCGCCAACATACTCATACTCTCCGCGATCAGCACTAAACAATATATTTGATATGTAATGCTGAACATATGTTCTTGTTGTCTTTGAATAAGATCTTAATTTATTTGCCAAAAAAATACCGTAGGCTTCACATTCGTCAAGTTTTTGTGAAGTTGACTCCGTTTGCTCGGTTCTCTTTTTTAAAATATTTAAAGTAGATGCCATTATCTCTTCCGGGTTAGGGGCTACTGCTTTCTTCCTTTCTGGAGGCAGAGGTCAATCAATGTTGCTTGGTTTGGCAGATGGAGGGCACTCAGTGTTGCTTTGTTCTGAAGGTCCAGCGCGTAGCTGAAAATAAACGTAAATCATTACTTCAGATGCCAGAAACACCGGAGCAATGGATGGCTTTAGCAAATGAGTATTATACTTTGTGAAATTTTCCAAACTGCCTAGGCGCAATCGATGGAAAACATATTATACTGCAGGCACCGATCAACAGCGGAAGTGAATTTTATAATTACAAGGGTTTCTTCAGTATTATTGGCAGTTGTTGATGCAAAATATAACTTTTTGTACGTAAACATTGGATGTCAAGGAAGAATATCCGATGGAGGGGTCTTCAACAACTGTGAATTGAACGAAAAAATACAAAATAATGCACTGAACATTCCTGAGCCCACTACCTTGCCACCAAGAGCGGAAGAAGTTCCATTTTACATTGTTGGAGATGAAGCTTTTGCTCTATCCGAAAATATGATTTAAGTATATTCAGGATATCATGAACGTGGTTCTAAAGAAACAATATACAACTACCGACTTTGCAGAGCTCGTAGAGTGGTGGAAAATGCGCTCGGCTTATTATCTGCAGTTTTTAGAGTTTTGCGGAAACCAATGCTGTTAGAACCAAAAACCGCGACATATGTTGTAACAGCAATAACACTACTTCACTTTTTTTTAAGAAAAGGTAATAACGCTCATGTATTTACCCCTGCGGGTAGCTTGGACGAAGAAGCAAATGGGATAGTCAGATTAGGAAACTGGAGAGAAAGTAACAATGATATGGCGAGTATTTTACCCTTGGAAATAAGACCGCGAAGGGCTTCAAGAACTGCTCACAATATTCGTAATGAAGTGCTGAATATTGCATCCAAGAAGGGTCTGTCAGCTGGCACGAAAATTATGCTTAAAATAAAACTTACCGTATCTGTTGTGGCAACAGGTGTATTTATATCCAGTAGAAACATCATAGTTTTGTATGCAAACCAAGTACTATGGTATACTTCTTCAGCACCTGAAAATAAAGTATTTTTGGAATACAAAACATACCTATATTTATTTTATTTATGTGGTTCTTAAACTAATGCTGCTCTCGTTTTGTCTTTGAATCTGACACGTGGCAGCATAATTTGACATACAACTTAACTTTAAAATGTGGTTGAGTATTTGGGGGATAATCGTACTGTATTATAGGAACTTAAAAAATATAAAAATAATTACCTACCCTTTCCTGTACCACTTGATCTTTTTATTTTCCCTTTTTCCCTCCTCAATGACGCCAGTAAGCTTGTCATTTTCGTTTCACACGTATTTCCTTCGCTCTCCATTAACAAAGCCCATCTATCCCAGGCGTCTTCTTTTTTAATTTGTTGTAGTGCTCTGGATGAGCTGGATTCCACAATACCGATTCTTCTCTATATTTTTTTATGAAATGCAGAGTTTTTTCTTTGTTCCACTCCATATTAATAATAATGAACGAACAAATAATCGAAATGAACAACGTGTGCGCGTGCGCTCCTCTGGTGCGCTCGTCACGACTTGTTGCAGCGAACTGACCGAACCGCGTAACACTCAAAGGATTCGCCGAAAAACCGACAGCTGGGTGGAGCACTCAAAGCGAGCAACGAGCAGCTCGGTGCTCGATGGTTTTCCCGTAACACTACGTACTGACTGCATGAAGGCTCGCTGTGTAACATGTTACATTACGCCTCGTATCGTTGGTCAGTACCCACCTTTACGAACCACTTCGTAATCTGATCATTTCATTTAAAGCTTCACTGTTGAGTGAGGTTTTCTATGTTAACTTAGAGCAATCAAGTTCTTCAATCCGAATACCGTCCAAAGACCTTACACGACTAAGTGCTACATAAGCTTGTCCAGCAGCAAACAGTCGCGAGCCTATATAAATCACTGCATGATCGACTGTAGAACGTTGCATCTTGTGGATTAATGGCAACATTCACAATGACCAAAGTGAGAATGCACTACCTTGAAAAAGTATCTGCCTCCCTTGTGCTGTGCCGAGTGCCCCATCAACAAAGAGTAAGTCCGAAACTGCACGCATGCGCAGATCGTGTGCTAGCTCTCACTCCCCTACAGAGGATCTATAAAAGAATTTATCAATTCTGGCGGTCCTAATGAGGATAATGGAAAACTGTTATCAAATTATTGCATTGTCATCGGTCCTTGATACGTGTGAGAAGTTTCAAATTAATCAAACTTCTGGAAATTGGTGAAAATTATGACCAAAGATTCCGTTATATACATACATATAAACATACATACAGGCAAAGGTAATAAAAGCGTGTGAAAAAAAATGTATTCCACAATCTGCCTCCTGTGAGGCTTGAACTCGCGACCCCTGGCTCACAAGTCCAATGCTCTGCCACTAAGCTTCAGAGGCTTGTAGTTACACTGTTCGTAAAGCGACATTTGAAATCCGTGACTTTTTATTAACATATCTGCTTTTTACAGAATTTTACTCATAAGGATAATGGAAAGCTGTTATCAAATTATTGCATTGTCATCGGTCCTTGATACGTGTGCGAAGTTTCAAATTAATCGAACTTCTGGAAATTGGTGAAAATTATGCTCACAGATTCCGTTACATTCAAACATACATACATACATATAGGCCAAGCTAATAAAAGCGTGTTGAAAAATATGCTTACTTAAACAAATTTCCCTCGTATGTGAATCTTAAGCGAAGGGCTCTAGCCACAGACACTTTTTTGGAAGCAGAAACTTCGTCATCTCAGGTCTGTTCTGATCTCCTTAGAAATCTTTAGATCTACTTAGAAATGCTTGAATTTCCATGCGAGTCCTTGGATGTTCTCAGACTTATCCTAAACAAATTCGCGAATGAGATGTTATGAATGGTCTAACATTGTTTTTAGTAGTTTTAGAAGGCCATACGAAGAAAACCTTTATCTCAGGTTACACTTGATCTCCTTGGACATCTTCAGATCCACTTAGAAACTTTTGAATCCGAGGCCGAGATGCTGAATTGGTCTAACATTGTTTTCAGTGATTCTTAGTCATGAGTTATCATTTATTCAGGAATGCATGATGTACGGAGGGAGTCAGAAGGCCATGCAACGGTATATCCAGAAAATGCTGAAACCCCATCTTTTGCCATTTTTCCAAACTCTTGTTAACCCTATTTTCAAACAAGATGATATCAGCCCCCATATAGCTAGACTACTTCGATAAAATCCATGTCAGCTTCCTTCCTTGACCTTGAAGGTGTCGAAACCTTTCGCTCATCAAACATGTGTTTGACGCGCAGAGCTGGAGGCAGCAACCCTCCTCTCGCTTATCCAGGGGTTTTGTTTGTTGATGAAGGAAACGTAAATTTCTTTTCACCTTTTTAATGGAAAAAACCCTTTAAATTCATAACATAGTCAGTTATAGTAGAGTAAGTCATTAAATTAACGTTAGGACACAAAAGTAGAAACTACCCTTTAACCTACGTACGGGACCACCATCTAAGCTGAAAATTCCACCACTTACGAATTATAAATAATTACTCCGGGAACCTAAATTGGGGGTACCACGTACTGCGAATACATGCGGTACATGCCGCCCGACCTCGATTAGGGTTGCTCAACTTGGTTGGAAACTCTTTGGCTGAAACAAGCGCGGATCCGGGGGGTGGTCATGGGGGTCATGATCCCCCTGTGCGAATCTAGTTTTACCACTAATTACAGACTTTTTGCAAATATGTAATCGATTCAAACGGGTAAAGAATCACCAGAATTCACCACACCTGGCAACCCTGATCAATTTGTAATCGATGATGACGTGGATATAAGAGGGTTGCGTAAGTCTAGTTGCCTATAGGTTCAGTTTGACGCAAATATTACTAAAATAGTGATTCTTTGTTTTTTGGCTTGATAGCACTGTATGTCCGTTAGTGCATTATTGGAAATTGAGCGTCATGTGTTCTGTGAGTAAGATAGCTAATTGAACATTCAGACGTTCGGACAGTAGTATAAGAAAAAACATTTTCACGCGCGCCTTTAACGCTTTGAGAAAATTTGTCAAAAATTTAACAGGGAAAAGCGGTTTCATTTGATTGAAATGGATGGTGCCTACTCAGTCGCCGGAAGAGTATTTTCGGAGGGCTGTGTATATCCCCCTTCTAGACAATGTAATCACTGATCTTCAGGAGCGATTATCCACAGAGACACTTCATTAAAGTTAGGTGTTTTTATTCCGAGAGTCACTTATACTAGTGGAGATTTAGGAACCGTTGAGCAACTCACAGTCGAGTACCAATCGCTCTTGGACAATAATACACGTGAATGAATATGGGCTGTATAAGACAAAATGGCAGCGAGTGCAAAATATATCGCGGTCGATTCCTACTCTTATTGAAAATTCCGATGCCGAAATGTATCATAACATAAAAAAGTTCTTATACACACATATACAGGGTGACTTCGAAGTTGAGTCATTTATTTTAACAGTGAGTCGATCTGATCAAAAGAAATGTTTTTTCCTTTAAAATTTTTCTGGTAAAATAAAGTAACAAAGTTATAGCCCTTTAGAAGTTTGAGTACCGCCCTGTCTCAATAATAATATTATGTGCTCGTGTTTGGCAACAACGGATATAATCCGCCTTATCGGTTCATCGCATCGGAAACAAAAAAGCGAAAGAATTTGAAACGTTTATCACGATGTTTTTCGTCAGTCGGTAACGCGTGAGTGAATAGTGGTGTTTGTTGCGTGGCTCAAACGAAATAAAAAATGGCACATGTTTACGAAAATGCTGAACTTGTGGACATGATTCTTATTTACGGGGGGGGGGGGGGCTGCAGCGGCATCACAGATTTGTGCGAATCGGTTTCCCAATCGAGTGCAACCAACCCCTCGTGCCTTCAGGTGTCTTAAGACCTCATAGGGGAGGGCATGCCGGTGTTCCAAGATCGCACGATCAACTACAGGTCCGCACTGAAATACTTGTCGGGAGGATACTTTATAAAACAAGGTAACATTTTTTTTAAAATTTTTTTTTTTATTTTTACGCACAAATTTTGGTTTATCTCCCTTCTACAATCATTATCTGAAAATTAATGACTCAACTTCAAAGTCACCCTGTATATATATATATATAAAAATATATAGATATATATGTATATATATATATATATATATATATATATATATATATATATATATCCTTACTACATTATCAGTTAGTGTACCAACAGCAGATAGGTCCTTTTCCACGATCAGGAGGCACAAGACGTGGTTGTGAGTCTCTATGGCAGAAGATCGTCTTAGTTAAGTGGCACTTTAATATGTCTATAAAGATATACATGATGCGGAATAAGTCATAAATCAATTTGCAAAAGACAAAAAAATTACATTTTGTTATTTAACAACAAAAACCTTCCTTTATATTAGATGTATTGTTTAAATCTCATTTAGGCTATACCGTATGAGTACCCCGGTAGGGTGACTGTCACCCCATTGGCAGCTACAGAACAAGCACTTCAAAAAGACCTCTGTCAGCTAAGTGACTATTTTAAGAGGAGGAGGTTATGCCCAAGTGAAGACAGACATATCATACTATAGAGATGCAGTTCAATGGGAGAGCCTTAAAACACAATGGATCTCTCAAGTACCTGGGACTAATGCTCGTCAGGTCATTAACACTGAAACAGCATCTTGATAATTTTTCTTGCAAAGGAACGGCAAAGAACAACATGATATCTAACCTCGCTAGAACTTCATGGGGAATTACAGTAGCAACACTTTGAGAGGCAGCATGTACCATGAGAATGACTACTGCAACCATTCGATCAACACCAACTTCTTGGCTACTGGTCACTTAGCATCACCAAATATCCGTAGGACTGCAGCCTTAATGAGAGAAATTGACAAAGTTTTGGATAATGCATCCCTACCGATTCACATGGACATACCACGTTTAACAGAAGTATGCCATCGGCTTAAATTCACAACGGAACCTGGTCAAAGCTGCCAGATCGTACACTTATCTACTGAGTGATCTGTATCCTGGGCACAGGCTTTTCAAAATGATTTCATCCAATCGCACTAGGAAATTTAGTACAGCTAGCATGGGATCATATACCTCAAAGGAACATAAAACACCTCCTAGGAAGCATGGCTTGACGAATGGACGAATGTATATGATATCGGAGTGGCCCAACACATTATTAGCGAAATCTCACGATTGCACAAGTGTACAATTTGATGCAAATAGATGTTTGTGACATAACCTCAAGATAGAGTTCTGACACGGAGAAGTAGAAAACTATGACAATCAAGGAGGCCATAAAGGCGCCCTACAATTGTAGGGACGACTGACGATACGGGCCTTAATCATGCCTTCCTTTTGCGTGTTTCTAACCATATACAAAACTTCATTAAAACAAAATCATTTTTGCTGACTGTTCTGTTTTTTTTCTGTCACTGAATCAGATCATGGACAAAAATCTGAATGCTACATCGCAAATGAGATTGAAAATATTAAACGCATCGAAAATCCATTTGTTGGGAATATAGCAGATTGTTAACTCCCCGTGATGCGCATCTATGGACGCATACCTTTAGCATCATATGAGTCATATACTTTAAGAAAGTAAAATAAGTCAATCCAAAGTTCATTGGACTTTTTCTCTTGCACTCTTTTTTGGAACAATGAATCAATTAATGCAAGAAGATCTCTCAATGCCTCTGCAAGTATGCCATTAAACGCAAACGGTGCGCTCCGGGATGCGCATGTCTGCTTATCTGACCGAAAAACACCTACTTTTTGTCCAATTATCTCTTTTTCGCAAAAACGGCCGTGTATGCAAAATGCTTTGTGTAACTGGGCTTGACGATAAATCTACGGGAATTTATGTCCTGCCGTTGGAATCAGGCAGCTTGAAATGGATAGCTTCATTGGCAGCGGTAATGGATGAAGAAAAAGGTCTTGAATATATTATAGCGAACTATTACTGATTCGTTGCAGTTTTTGATTCCTGGCCGTTGATATCAATTCAAGTTATAAATTCTTATGATTTGGTTTAACTTGAAGCATTTATCAAAAATACGGAGTTTCGGCGACTTTAAATTCCATCTTCAGGTACATATGAGTTTCAAAAGCTAAGCAAAAGAGTCAAAAATTACAACACAAAAATGGGTTAAAAACGAAAAAAATTTTAACATAATTCAATTTCATTTGAATCATTATTATTTTATATAGATTATGTTAAATATAATGCCAGATCGAGAGTAGACAGACGGGAGTCTATGAAAATGAACCATTACACAATAGAACAGCGTACCCTAATTGTTAAAAATTATTACCAAAGTTGTGAAAGTTTTATATATATATATATATATATATATATATATATATATATATATATATATAATCTGTACCTC